AAAAAAAAAAAAACAGATTTTTTTTTTTCTAATGCTTTTATCATTGTAAAGCAAAAAAAAAAAAAAAAATGCAGAGAAACATTTTTCCTGCTTAAAATAATACAAATTCAAAATTTATTTGCACAGAATTTTCAATTTTTGCCGTCAATCAACAGATTCAGTCAGTCATTCGGTCAATCAGCTAACACCTCTGTTTTTCACAATGTTTTAGTCGAACTGCTAACTGTTCTTCACCCCCAATAGTTTTCAGCAAAAAAAAAAAAAAAACCCACAAAAAAAACACAACCAAATTTGCAAAATATTCCATACATCTTAAATATTGACAAAATTATAAAAGTGTAAAAGAAAAAAAAATTTTTTTTTTTTTCCTTTTTGAAACATCAAAAATTTTAGAATCAAAAAATGAAAAAAAAGAAAAATCTGTTCCTTTTTTTATTCCATCTTTTCTTTTACCTTACAATTATTCTTATTATAAAGAAAAAGAAAAATGATGTTGATTTTTCAAACCTTTGTCATTTTTTAAAAAAGTTGATTAGCGCGAGAGGAAACAGACAATGTGAACCAAAAGAAACAAATTACCGACCAAATATGTCATGTTTGACATCAGGATTTATAGAAGATGACAACACTTCTTGACTATCTACTTCAACTGATGCTCTACAGTGGTTTACTATGGCTCCTGTAAGCGGTCAAAAGTAGAACAGACGTAATGAGCATAATTTTTCATAAAATCATCAACTAATAGATCATATTTTTGGTAGTTTCTTGGACCATTTGTTCAAAGTTGATTGCAAACTCAGTTGTTTGCAGAATATCTGGTAACTACTAAAACTGCTTCAGAAGTTCCACCAGAATAATTTTTTGTTCGACTAACTTTTGAAATCTACACAAATTGTACACTTAATAAGCATTTCACTAGATCAAATAATACCCATAAATTCAGTGTTTTTAGAACGAATCCTAAAAAACTGTATAGATCTTTTGGTACTGTACAACCTCTAGTTGTGCCATTCAATCGGTGTGAAACTCAGACTGAATTGATACGTTACTCCGCTGTGTACCAAGCAGATGGTAATCTTATGATTTTGAAGTATATACTCATTGAAAAGTTGGATCTACATTTTACCGTATTGTACTAGATGACCAATACGGGATAATATTGGATGCGAAGAATAGTTGGATGGCAAAATTAAGAAGCAAAAGTACAACTGACATTGAGCTATCAGCCCAGATGTTACAATTGGATATTCCTTTATTTCGTACTCGTATTTTAACAGTAAAAATGCAGTGCTGTAAGCTACTTCCAACCTCCTGTCTTTATCTCATAAAATCTAGAAAAACTTAGACCGCGGTTAGGTGCTATTTACGGAGAACAATTATTGAAGTTTTTCACCCATTGCTTCTTATGAGCTGCATAAATTACACTTGACAAAATCTATCTACTTTTAGCCCGTAATGCCATATCTAGGTTGATGATGGTATGCCTTCCATGTTTCTGGGATTGTCGCCAAAAAATGTGCTGCAACTTTCAGTTAGAAGGGTTACGGGCACCACGGTCTCATCGGTAGTTCATGCGCTCTTTCAAATTAGCTTTGCTTTTGAAAGAGTGCGTGAATTATGCTCATCCAGGTTGGAAACAGGCATTTTTCTAGAAATTTTAACTCAGTATAGTAATGGCTGTAGTTAGCTAAGGTCTGCTGTCCTGCAAAAACAGTACAGACTGACTCCGTAAGGGGGTTATATCTACATTATATTTACCAGAAATGCTCATTAAATGAGGCAAATAAAATAAGGTGTAAATTGGTGGCTGTTTAAAAGTTGTCTCGATTAATATCAAAAACGACGCAGATTGAAAAATATTTATCACAGAAAAACCGTTGAGCATCAAATGTTGGGGAATTTCGCTTTTTGATTATAAAACTGTTTGATGTCACTAGGAGACGAGTGCCAATGATCTTTTACTGCTGTTTCCAACAGGCTTGTTCTTGTTTCAACACGTTTGTTCTAGCTTTTGCATACTTCTTTACAAGAACCTTTCACTGTCTGATTCATTTTTTTACGTCCCGTATTGGCCGTTACTAGTGTCAAAGAATTTTGTTGCATACTTATTATTTAGGAAGCCATGATTATATCTTATCCTCCTGGAAACTCTGTTAAGTAATGTACGAATTATGAAGTTGTGTTGGTGCCAGTGCCATTTTGTTGTTATGATTTTGCATGTTTCACCTTGTTTATCTCGGAACAGTGTTTCAACCTAACATTTCAGCATGGATGAAGACGATTCTTTCGAAGAAGACTTTGAAGGAGCCTATCTGCAGGCGGATGCTGGCAAGAAATGCACCGTCTATCTGGTTGACGGATCACCAAAAATGTTTGAAATTCCTGAAGATGATGATCAGGAAACTGACTGCGCTTTTCGAAGGGCACTTAAGGCAACTTTTGATGAAATTTTTGTTTTAAATTGCGCAAGTTTTTTTAAGAAAAAACTTTTGGTTTACATTTTTGCCTTAAGTGGCACTGAAAAAAAGTGAATTTTGCAAGAAACTATCTATTGTCTACATCAGATCCATGTTTTTGTTTTCAGATAGTCAAACTTCAGATGATTAACAAAGCAGTAACATCAAAAGAAGAGTATACAGCTTGCATCTTCATAAATACTGTAAGGTTTTATGGATTATTAGGTGTTTTTTTAAAAGAACGTTAGAAAAGAAAGCTGTAGTCAGGCATGCGATTAAGAATAAAAAATTACTGCGTGTTGAAAACTGTTTTATTTATGGCTTTCGTTGAGAAGATTCTTTCATTAAGTGATATTAGTGATAATTTCTCCTTGACTTCAAACGCTTTTCAAATATTTTGATTCTAAAACTTTCTTACTTTTAATAGTTTTAGGTTGTTGAAGGAAGAAGTTTATAAAGTAGTTTAATTGCAGGCGTCTAAGCTGCAAAATATTGACAATGTCTTTGTGTGGCAGGATGTAGGCGTGATAAATGCAGAACGAGTGCAGCAGGTTGAGGAGCTCTTAAAATTAGGTGTTTCCACTTATTTCATCTGGCAAAAAATTTTTGATTTTTAAGCGAAATTTATTGTGTTAGTTTTCTAGACGATATCCGCGGCAAATTTGAAAATATGTGCGGCGGCCACGGTAAAGCAGATTATGGAGAAATCCTCTTTTTATGTATCCGAAAAGTGAAGTCTGAAAAGTAAGTTATTTCAGGGTCACTTTTTACCTTTCAGTAGTTAATTCTGCTTCAAAAGTTTGATTTTGATTTATTAAATAATTTTCAAGTGTTTCAGCTTTTTCGCTTTTCTTCTGTATTTGCTTCTTATTTCAAAGTTTCTAGTTTTTTTTTTCTACAGATTCAATGGTATTTTCACTTTCAGCCCCAAATTTCAAAAACGGGTTGTGTATTTGCTTACCAACGAGGATGATCCTTTTGGCAAAAATGTACAGCATAAGTCTGGTGCTGTTAAAAATGCCCAAGATCTTCGTAGCCATGGGGCAGAATTTGCAATTTTTCCGCTTTTAACAGAGTCTGAAGAATTTCAGTTTAAGTTTCACATTCTGGTTAGCTTTATTCACCTTCCGTTTTCAATTTTTGCCACTTTTTCTTTTGGGGTGTCAGGAATACCTTAAGAGCTTTTCTAGAAGGAGCTCGATCCAAATGTGGAAAAGAATTGCGAGAACGTTTCGGAACTTGAGAAAGAGTATTTTTTTTTTTATGTTTTGGTGTTTTTTAGTTTTTTTACTCAATCCTAGTAATTACGTCCAGTTTTCCAATTGGTTGGGTCAGCTATGCTTTCAGACTATAGGTATGATAAGAATTGGTTTTTAATTAATGCTAAGAGTAGCATTTTAGTGTACCACGAAAGCAGTATGCAAGAAGAAATATTTCAAGCGTCCCTCTAATACTTGGAGAAAACGTGAAATTGGCTGTTGGCGTGTGACTACTTTTTCCTTAATCTTTTCTTAATTTTTACTATTAGAACCATAAGGGAAATGTCTAGTTAAATTCTTTTGTTGCCTCATTTACAAACCAATCACTTTTTTGCAGCTATTCTTTGATGCATGCCGAAAAGTTGCCTTCAGCGATACCGCTTGATGCCGAGGAAAACGCTCCGGTCCAGCGATCGTTTATTTACACTAACAAAAAGGTTTTACTCATCTTTGAGCAGATTTTTTCGTTAGCTTTTGAAACACATTCTGTTTTTATTAACAGTATTTTTTCCTGTCTGTTTTTACCGAAAAATATTATTCAACAAACCAGACTGATGAGGAAGTTCCGTTACTTAACGATGAAATCAAAAGAGTAAAGGATATTGGCGGAGTTCAGGTTTCTATGTCTGCTCAAGAAATAGACAAAGTGCGGAAACTGAGTCTTCCAGGTGACCACTATCTTATTCTTTTTAGCTGTGTCTGACATTCGTCTCAAAAACATGATTTCGCGATTAATTGACGCATTTAAGATTTACTGAAATACAGTAGATAATTCTGTAGTCGCGAAAAGTTCAACATAAATCAATAAATCTGTTTGCAAAACCCTAGGAAGGTTTCAGTGGGATTTTTGGAAATTGATTCTTGGTGGTATTTGTTTCAAAATTACTAAAATATGTGATTTTTTGGGGAGATTAGGATCGCATTTGCAATTATTTATGTAATGTAAATTAAGGCGTAGAGAAGTCGTTTTGTTCTTAGTTCTTTTGAGGTTTTTTCGTCATCTCTCTTCATCTCTCTACCCTCTTATTTTTGATATAGTTTAGGTCTTTTGCTCCTTGGTTTCAAACCTTTGTCATGCCTAAAACTATCGCACCACGTCCGAAGTTCGCAATACCTTTTCCCTTTAGAGATGGTAGAGTTTGCTTTTTTCTTCCAGGCTTTTTTTTTTACAACTGTTTGCTGAAATGAAAGTTCATATTGCTTTTCTTGTTACCAATTTTAATTCGCTATCATAAGCAATTCAAACTGCTTTTGTACTTAGGACACATCTGGCTCTACTCGGTTATATCGAGCTTTGTGGGAGGGATGTCTGAAGCTAAAAATGATGGCTGTTTGCAGATACACTCAGAAGGAGAATACACCCCCGAAATTAGTTCTTCTTGTACCTCAAGCTTTTGCTGAACAAGAAGATGAGGTCTTCCAACAAATTGCTTTAACAAAATTTCTTTTAATGATGCGACTATTGTTTGAAAAATGAGGCGGTATTCTAGGCTAAAATAACGAATAAGTTTCGATATCCTGGGTTCCACCTCATTTACTTGCCTTTCTTTGAAGATAAAAGAGATTTGACGGATCAAATGACCAATGCAGATGGAGAATGGCCAAAAGGTTTTAATCATCAAATCTTATACTGTCGTTTATATCATCTTTTCTATCCAGAAGCTTTTGTTCAGTTTAGTAGTTACTTCATTAGTTTATAAAATTCCGATTATATGTTGAATATTTGATCATGAATCATCCGTGTTTTTACTTGATTTTTTTAATGGTAAGCTGACAACGATCAGATAAATGCAGCCAGAAATTTCATTAAAAAGCTTTCAACAAGCTACCATCCGGAAAAGTTTTCTAATCCAGGTATTCGTTCATTTTTATGCGTTTTTTATACTGCATTATAATAATATTGTTGTACTGTGGACTACTGACTTCTCTTTTCAGTTTTGCAAAAACATTACAAGGTCGTCGAGGCCATGGCCTTGAATTATGAAGACGTTCCGGAAATATCAGATCAAACTGGTAAGTCTTACTGAAAACGAGTCTTTTGAAGTATTGTTTTTCAACCATTAATCAACTATTTCTCGCTGTTATTCCTTTATCGCGGCTTCACTTTTTTTATAAAACAAAATGAGTTATTTTTGATGGCACTCCTTACAAGCGAAAGTCTATTAAAACACAAGGAGTTAGGCCTTTGCTCTTTTAATTTTTTCTCTATTTCGTGAATCTTGACTTCGTTTTTTGAAACAATAATTTCATTATGCAATTATTAATTTCTGAAAATTTTTTGAAAAATAAGGTATACATCCATTACACTAATAATAAACTGGACAAGAGGTTCTGGTTGTGAAGTGTTGTTTGGTTGGAGATTTTCTTCAATTTCTTATACGCAGCGTTTTAATTTATTGTGCAACTACAAAATATAGTGCATAGGATACGTTAAGCAGTACTTGAAAGATCAGTCTTAGTCAGATCAACGAAAAGATTTTTGATTTTTGGAAACTGTTGCTGTTTTTCTAAAGCAAGTATGCGGATTTGTAGACGTTCACTGTGATATAGAAGGCATGCGTTTTGTAGACTTTGAAGAAGTCTTTGTGTACTGAGAGATTAATTGTTTGTAGTTTTACTTTACTCATTTCGCGTTGAACACTACAGGTTTTCTAGGTTTAAAAAAAATTGAAAATTTGAGTGTTTATAATTTTCATTTGAGCTCAAGAAGCTCGTTTATGACTAGTAAGGGCATCTGAACTTTTGGTAAAGTTTTTTTTGAAACTTCTTGTCTAAATTTTCTATTTATTCAATTTGTATGTTCAATTATTGCAGAGCCGTATTATAAGCGGGAAGAGTACCGTAAGCGTGTAGAAAAAGAGCTCCAAGAATTTTGTTCTTTAACGTTGCCTGATGGATATTCTGCTGAAAAGAAAAAAGTAACTAAATTGCGTAAGGCTACGGATGCAGGTCTGTCAGTATCGCGAACATTTCTGCATTGCATTTCACTAGTTTTGAGTTTGTTTTCTGATTCCTTTTGTAATTTTTAGAAGACGAGTTTTTAGCAAAGAGGAAGAAAGTGGATACGTCTGAAAAAAGTTTGGAAGACCTTGCCAACAATCAGCAGGTTGGCTTGCTTTCAGTTTTAAATGCCTGGATTCAATATTAAGTCACGAAATAATGCTTTATCATTCTTTTCTGGTTGATCTGTAGTAGCGGGACGAGTTGGTTGACATTAGTTTTTTATATCTGCTTTAGTGCGATAAATCAAGAAATTAATTTCAGCTTAATTCATTGACTGTTGCTGAGTTAAAAGCGAAAGCAGCAGAGGTTAATATCCCGTACACTTCGAAAACAAAGAAAAGTGACCTTATTACAATTATTGAAGCGCATTATGGAATTACGTAGATTTTATGAGAGGGGACTGACGTGCAATTTTCTTACAATTTGATCCTCATTCATGCTGTGCTTTAACTTGATGATACTGAATGCTTTCTGTTTTTGACGACTACCTCTCAGAACAATATGTAGTTTTCATGTTGTCTTTGCTGGTTTTAAATCCTTGAAAAATTAAGTTAGAATTATTGCTGTGATTTAGAGAGCAATTCTTTTTTTCAATATGTTGTTCGTAGTCTTTTTTTCGATATGTTGTTCGGAGTTTTTTTTTTTTGTGGAGAAGTGTGAAGGGTTTGCTCTGTTCTTGGTAGCATTTAACAAAGCTCAAGCCCGAAAAGCTAACCCATAATCCTTTTTTAGGTGTACTTCTCTTGACTAAGCTGCTGAGGGGTTTTGCTTAGCACTTTTTAGACCCAAGTTTACCGGTTTTCCCGTATCTTTCTTGGCAAGAAGATAGGGCATCTGTTATTTATTTATTTATTTTTTTTTGCTCAGGGGATATATATTTAGCAATATGTGAAGGTAATGAAGACCTGTTGCCTTTGTTGCAAGATTTATAAAGCTCTTCTGTAACATCAGTCTATAAGCTAAACAGTTGTTTGGTTAAAGAATTTATGACTCATTTAGTGGAAATGCATGGAAGTGAAGTATATGAAGTGTACTTTGCGGTTTATGATCGCAGTTTACAACTTTGATAGTGAATTTCGCTTTTGACTGGTTAAAACCTTATTTTAATTTTGGTACTGTTTGATAAAACTTTGCTTTACTGCAAAGTTTATTTTTCTTAAGTTCACAGTTATAATAAGTTTTTTTTCGCGATTTTTTAAAGGGAACTGTTTTGCATATGACAGTTTGAAGATTAATTTCTTTATTTTATTAATGTCGCAATAAATAATTCTTTGGCTAAATGTAGAAAGGCTGAATGATTGTAAAAAGCGATCCTGATTTTGAGTAAGGCATAACCGATTAGAACGTTTTAATTTTGGGAAGTTGTTAGTTGCTTGCCAAAGGTTTTTTTGCAGTACAGATAGTCAGTTAGTCATTTCAAATAGTGATGTCTAAGCAAGGTAAAGCATGCGCAAGGGAAAACCGTAAGCTTTTTATTAGTGTCATTTCTCGCTATATATCTTTTTTCCAAATTCAAACAGCAAGAAAGGTCAAGTTGCATGAGCATATTTCAGAAATCTGATGGTTTACTTTTGCCTGGTTGTGATGCGTAAAGTCGGCCAACTTTATACGTTTGTTGCTTCTTAATGCACGGGGGAGACAAAACATTATGACAGCAGATGCAGAAGTATTTGAGGTTTCTGTGTATCCAGTGGAATAAATAAACATTAATGGGGATAAAGGAGCAAGTCAGTTGGTTGTATATCGGGCTTGAACGATTACATTGGGTCGATTGTGATCTGGCAAACAATTGAGGACCGGTGAGTTTTATTAGTGTTGATGTAGAAGCAGGTAGAAATGGGCATATTTCGTATGACGGTTGGCAAATAAATAAATTGAAGTATCAATGCAAAGTTTCTTTTTGTTATTTGATGAAAATTAAACAGCAAGGAGAGCAGCAGAAGTGGTTGATGGTGAAAGTTAACCAACCAGCTTTTTTGATGCCAGGTCCCGCTTCAACTTCATTCTTGTTACAAACTTCTCATCGGCAGAATTTTTTTTTATTTCTAAGCAGAATGCTTAATGACAGCATCTTCTAGAAGATGAGATACGAACAGTAGAACAACAGTGGACAAGTAAAACTAATAAATTAATTTTGAGATTTTCGTTTTTTGTTCAGATGAAAGCTGAGACGACAAGAATTAGAGGAAAGGGCTGTTAGAGGATTGTATTTTGTAAAATATATTAACTGCAAATAAAGAGTGGCAGGTTCTCGTCTACGTTTAAGATTTTAAGCAAAACTTAACAAATTTATTAGTAAATATTTAAAGTTAATGAATAAGTAACGTTTAGCGTTTGGTTGAACGATCGTCTTTTGGTTCTGTTGCCTGAACTTTATGCCATTCAAGAAAAGTTTTTTTGGTAAGCGCATGACAGGCATCAGATGTGCACATTTTAAAGCGAACCTAAATAAAATTGATCAATCTATAAACTTTAGGCCTATTTTACTTCTAATAAATAGATAAATAGTTGGAACTAAAATAAATTGCTGTTTTTATATAACAGATCTATTTTTCCCTCATTTCATCTCTGCCCTGTCTGCTAAAAAAATAGTAGTTGATCGTATCAATGTGATACTGTTACAGCATTAGTAAGGTAAATTTGACTAAAGCAGTTCAGAATTGATTGCTTATTTTACCGAAACGTTACTAATTTCTAGCTTCTGCACTGTGGTTTTTCCAAAATCAAATTTTTTAACGGCTGAAACTTACGTTTTTTAAGGCAAATTCCGTCAAGAGGTACATATAATGCTTCACAAGTGCACACTCCATTCTTACATATTGCGCCGGGTACACATAAAGATGTTTCAGAACAGGTCTCACCAACAGTTAGCTGAAAAAGTAATTCATTAGCATCTCATTGACACTGTGGTGAATCCACTTCAATCATGAGTAGATAGTTTTTATTTCTTTTCTAGTTCTTCGTTTATGATTTCGAGTGGGACTCTTAAAATGTTACATTTTGTTTCAAAATTACTGTGATTTTTGCTGCTAATTGCTTTGAAATTTAACTCACAAATGTATTTGGTAGAAGAGTTCGATAGTATGGAATATTAGGCATTACTGGCGGTTGAAACACACGGAACCAAAGTGGATCTGGTGGTGAAACAGAAGGGGAAAGACTGTAGGTTGAAACAGCATTAGTATTTGGTAGCTCCATTAACATTGGGTTCACCAGTGCTCTTGCAGGTGATTGATAAGAAGATGCAAATTCAACTGGTTTTTTTATAACGTTTGTTGTCTGTGAGACTGTTGATGGCGCAGGTGGCAGCTGTGTTGCTGGAGCATCGTTTTCTAGAATCGCTAATGGTACATCACCAGCTGGTGATAGTGACGAAGGACTTGATGAAGTCACCATAGCTGCGGAAGAAATTTCAGATGCTTCTATGGCTGGCTCTAGTGTCAAGACAGGTGTTTTGTTGTATACTCTTCGTGACACACAAACGGTACCTGAAAGATAAAATATGCATATTCATTCAAATGAACCGTATTTAATGCGCCAAACTCTTTGAAAATCTTGACTTGGCAGTATACAGACAACAAGTCCAGCAGTACATCTGGAAAAAATTGTGTGGGAAACGTTGATTACATTAAGAGTATTTTTTTGCTGGGTACCTAAGCGTTCTGATCGTACTTATAAAGTTAATAAAAAAACTGGAAAGAACTTGAAGCATTTGGTCAACCTTCTTGCACTAATTCCGGTGGACATAAACAAACGCCACTTGAGCAAATACTTCCTCCAGTACATTCTGTGAATGGTTCACAAGGCATTCCTGGTAAAGCCTAAACTGATCAAACTGCAGCTAAGTTTTATGGCAGAAATATAGTTTAAGATTCAAAATGCCTGAAAGGTAATGGTGAATAACAAGACAAGAAGAAGCCAAAAATATTTCAGATTTCGATATCGTCCTGATTTCACTTTAGACTCCTTAATCAAGCGGTGCGTTATAACTGGATACCTGTGGGATAACTCTAGGTGGATTGCCGTAGGAATATGCGGTGTGAACATGTTGTGGGAAGTCTGACTGTGGAATAACGCATCCTGTCAGTGGGTTGTAAGGGACCCCTGAGAGGCAAAGACAGGCTCCTTTAACACATCTAAAACGACTGTATTTACTGTCACTGCAAAGAACTGACAAAAAAGGATAGCGCAGAATTTTCTGTGGACAGGGATGAGGAAGTAATAAGCTAGTCTAATTATTGCTTTAATTTGCTTACATAGCAGTTTCTAAACATGCTGGGTGGCATTCGGCAGGGTCGATCAGTGCTTGATCCACAGTAAGAGTCGTAGGAGAAATAGGTGCAGATGCATGTAAAGATTGAGGAGATTCCAGAGTTGGAATAAATGGTGGCTGCGGTGACAAAGACAGAAGTCTGGACACATAGGGTGAAGGTGGTGGTGGTGCAGACCCGTACAATGGCGATGACAGAACGGGTAGTGATGCTAAACGCAGTGGGCCGCCATTTGTTGGTGCTAAAAGCAGGACAGTGGTGTTACAGAGCTGTTTCTCTTGCGATCTGTCAAAATAGTAAAAAGATGAATTAAGACTGTCAAAGACAAAAGCTCAAAGGCTTTGCCTAAGAATTTTCATTGAGATATTTCAATGTCAATCGTGATGCTAATTCAGCAAGATATAATAAAAGAGGAAAAGGTATTTTTATGGCATAGCGAAACTTGAAAAACTTTCATTCAGATTGTTTACAACTATACGTCTGGTAAAAAAAGACTGAAATCAGATGAAAAAAAATTGTTGGGTGGCGTTGGTGCTAATTCGTTGGGTCAGTGCACACTTAACGTTGAGAAGAGATTTAAAGTGTTGCAAAAATGCTGCTAACAATAGAAAAAAATAGTTGTTGGCAAATTTGCCCTAATAAATCTTTGTTAAATAGCAAAAATATTTGTTGTGACAAATAAAATTTTTTGGGGCTGATCTATCAAGCAGTTATTAAAAAAAGACATGGTCAAGAAAAGAATAGCGGTTAAACTAAGGAGGAAAAAGATGGAAACAATTACCTGGAAACAAAGGTACTTGTCTACGGATATTCGTTTCCGGATAACTTAAACTAAATGTGTAAAATATCAAAAACGTTAAATAGTTAGCAGAAGCCATCTTTGTCCACTACCGAAGAAAGCCGTAGTTGTGCAAATTTTTGTGCCTTTAGCGGCTTTTATAAAGATATTTCAAGTGTCACTAATGGTTATTTAAAGACTGTGAAAAATAAAAGAATGCATAGATGACGAATCGGTAATTCTTGAATTGGTTGTTGAACCTATCATTCATATTATCTGATGATGAACACACTTTACCAGCAGAACAATAACACTTTATTCGAGATGGAGGTATATAGTGCAAATATACCTTATTATCTTTAAATTTTGTGCCACTCTTCTGTTCATAAAAAAAGGAATACTATACTTGCATTTTATGGCACAATAAACTGCACATAAATACAATTTGCACAGGTGTGTTGTTCGCTGTTTTTTTTTCCTGAAAGAACTAAACTGTAATTTAAAAAATGTTGACAAACGAAGTCAGAATCTGTTGAACAGTTAGTGTGAAATGTTAAAAGATAAAACAGCGTCTGCTGGTTATTCTTCTGGTTTCACTAATCGAGTTTGAAGACAGTCGTTGCACTGCACTCTCCGATATTTGGAACTAACAGCTTTTTATAAATGCTAAATTTTATCAATGAAGGTTAATGCTAGGAAAGTTGACCATGCATTGTCATCGCTACAAATTTCTCATTATATAGTAAAATAAATTTTGCGAATGATTAATGTGCTGAAAAATGAAAAATTAGTCAAACTTGCTAATCTTGTCATGAATAGTTCAACCTTTTTTTTCCCATTTTATACTAAACATTATGTTTCACTGAGTGGTCATGGTGTCGTTTAAATAATCGAAATGAATAATCTGTCTATTGTTTAATCTGTTTATAATAAACTTCAGTTTATGTTCAATGGTTCTAGAAAGCATGTGTTTTTGCTTAAAATTTGTTCAATACTAACTGTAGCTGTACAAAAATTTCAAAGATATAATAGATACAGTTGCAGTAAAAAAACTGTAGGAAATAATGTAGATTGATTCAGATGGTGTAATAATGTTTAATCCAGTAAGTGGTAACTTGAAATAGCGATAATTGTAGAATTACAAAAACCTAATTTTATAATTTCAAAAATGAAGAAATTAGAAAACCAATAAACTATCAATGTTTTATACCTATTACAAGTTTTTTGTTTGTTTTCTAATTAAGTATTCTCTCATATGGATGAGTCTAAACCCTGAACCAAAAAATTAATTGATTTCAACAAAAATTTATGCTGTAGAAGTCGCTGAATCGTGGAATACAAACCAACAAATATCAACTCGTCAAAACTGTATGACGTAATAGGGTAGACGAATGAAAGAAACAAAGAGAAGGACTATACAATTGAAAAATATAGAAGAGAAAAAAGAGCATAAGAAATAGCCAGAGTGTCAGAACGACAGACTTATTAAGTTTAATTTCTTCTTTGCTACTGTAGCTGTAATAATTGCCGTAGTTGAGATGTATTTGGTATACGAGTTATTTTACTCATTCAAGCGTATTCTGTATTTTGAACTTTCATATAGCCCTTAACAGTTTAGACCTCAGTGCTTAAATCGTTACAAAAACAATTTCAAACTGCTGCTGGCAAATTCAGCTGTATTTTAGTGTACTGCATAATTTTTAGCTGCCATATTTTGGCACTTTGTATTCAACAAACGACTATAATATTCTGGTATTTTGTTCTCTTTTTCTTTTGTTTTGTTTACTGAATTTTTTGCATTATTTTTTCTTTTCTTCTACTCTTCTTATAGAGCACTCTATGCTTCTTTAAGAAGAGAACCGAAGCTTTTTAAGTGACACTAATGTGGAAGAGACAAAAAAGAAAAAACAGTCACCGAAAGATATGTAAAAAAATTTTTTGACAGTAGGTGATATAAAAGTGCTCAAAAACAGTCACCTATTTATTTTTGTTAATTGGTCGGTCTAATTTTTTGTACCAAAATAGTGCTCAAACGAGAATGCTTGACAGTAGCAGAAGAAAAAGTACAACACAACAGATCTTCAAAAGTTTCCTACAACTTAAGTAGTTTTCGTATAAAGTACAGGTGTAGAAAACTTTTTCTGAAAAAAAAAAAAAGATTTAAAATTGGTAGAAGTCATTAAAGCTGTATCAATAAACTGTTTTTTCTTTTAATTTTAATTACACTTCCGAATTTTGGTCAAAAAAATTTATTTCTTACTGCAACTTGTTATTGCTTATTTTTGTCAGCACCTACTAACCACTTGAAAGTACAATTGATTGTTGCGATTATTGCTGCTTAGTCTGTGCGTCTGTTTTTGTCGCAAAATCTTTTAAAAGCAACAGTGCTGAGAAATATTCTTTACAGAATATGTGAGTTTATACACGAACAAGTAAATCTAACAAAAAAAAATTATGTGAAACATGAAGACATTAATTTCTTTCAGGAATACCTAAAAGAAAACTGGTTAAACTGCATTTGAAGTGCAATTTTAACGCTGTTTAGCTGCACGCAACTTTTAAATGACTATCATTAAACATTTATATCACTTTTAAGTTAAGAGAAAGCCGCTTCATAAACATGTGATTCAACTAAATTTTAAAAAATGCTTTTACTCTAAGGTCATTTTTAACCGAATAAATGTTTCAGTTTGAACAGTGATAAAACTACAGAAAGAAACTGAGTATCAATCATAATGACTCAAATTTCTTAGCAAAAATTCTAAAACTACTTAGCAGATTATTTGTATTTTCATAATTAAACGTATAAAGCTTAGAATTTCCTGTCACAATTTTCAATACTTTACTTTTATATTTATTTATTTATAAAAATTTACATATATCAAAAAGAAATAAACTACGAATAACTATTGTACACACGTTGCTAGATAAACCCACAGATGATGGCAGAGCTAACATTGGTTACTTCTTCTGTCGATAAAGATTATTATCTTTTAAACAGTATTTTTCAGTAGATCATAGTACATTCTTTCGTGTCACTAAATCGGTTCCAAATGCTGCTCAAATTTGAGTGATTTTAGCAATACTGCATTTTCAATATTGCTTATGCAGTAATACATGATTTTTTAAAAATGGGTCTTTTTATAACACATACCAGATTTTATAAAGTAGTCTAGAAATAGATACACTTAAAAGTCAAAAAACCAAAAATAAACGACAAATGAGTAATTTTAAATGCTTTTTGCAGTTTGAACTAAATTAACAATTTTAAAGTGTATAAACCATTCAAAAATCTGATCAGTTTTGTGTGTTAGTAGGTATGTCATTTACTACCTCTTATCTTATTGCAGTGGAAGCTGGAGTTTATTCAATACTTAGTCAAATTACAATCGTATCAATTTTAAGCACTTTTAGTCAAATGGTAAAATGAAAATTTTGTTAAGCAGTTTACTGAGCAAGACAACTTGATCTGTGTAATTACAAGAACTGAGTCAAAAGTCAAATATTTAAATAGAAGAAAGATTTTATAAACCGGCAGAAAACAAAGTATTTGGAAAACAAAGCGGTGCAGATCAGTTTAATGCTCATATCTCTCAGTCAATTAGTCAATGTAACATCTAATCATTCCTTATATTAGTAACCCTCAAAAAATTCTTCAAAATTGAATTTATTTGTAATTACCAGTGTCGTTTCAAATCTTTTGAACTACTGATGTTTACTCGTAAGATTCATCAACTGAGGATAGTCTTACAACATCTTTTAAGACAACAATTTTTCAAAGTATCAATCAGCCGTAAAACTATTGCTTTTTTTTGAACAAAGTTTATGTATGAAGACCGCACTTTTTGAATTCTATAATACAAAATGATTACTCAGCCTTGGTTCATTTTTACCAGCGCTTTTTTTAAGGCTGATCACTATAAATGTAGCTTATTAATGTTGTTAAAATCTTTGTTCAAAAACCAGTTGAAGAATAACGGAACTAACTGAAACTTTTTGAAAGCTTTTTTTTTGTGTCAAATTACTTGTTTTGTGAGGAAATAAAATGGTGTAAGTGCACCAAGAGTAAGAAGAGTACCTTTGAAAGCACTGCGATGGTGCTGTTTGATGAAGCAGTTTTATGACAGTTGCGAAGTTTTGTGGTATTCAGGTTGAGACTAAGTTTGAAATAACAGAAACAGCTTTTTGACAGACTCACAGCAAAAATAAACAGCAGAGATGTTCTCATTAGCTGACAATTTGTTGCGCTGGAAACAGGTAGTTTCCTCGCTTTTGTTCAATTTTTAGAACGTAAGACAGCGCATGTCAATCAAAAGTGGCCAATGAATAACAATTATGAAATTTTTCTCAAATTCTTACTACAGACTTTAGATATTAGAAAAGATTCAAAAGCACTTAAAGCAGCACATTTACCCTAGCAGAACTTTATTCAAATCTATAATTTTTACAGTCTCTAATGCTACTCATTCAAGAGTATCAATAACGATCAAATGATTAAAGCGTTACAACCGATTCTTACCCAGTTAGACTTAATAAAATTTGCTTGTTTTGCTCTGCTACGACAGTACGATTTACGACGAAAGACAGTTGGAAAAACCAAAGAAAGATAATGGAACTAACAGTGAGATAACGGAACTACGTAGACGAAATTAGCAATAACTTAAATAGCTGATTAATACAATTTTTATCTAAGTAAACATTGTTAAGAAATTGTTCTTTTTAATTTAATAAACTTTAGCATTTGAAGTTATTGATGTTTTTCTAAAAGACTGTTTAAATAAATACATTTCTGTAGCTCTCAAGTTGGAAAAATCTACTACCTAATCACAAGAGCATTGTTTTTAAAAAAAGTTTTAGTTTTCGACTGCTTTACTGTTTCCTTACCAGACTACTTCAGGTTACTTCAGGTTAACTATGAACAATACAGTTTTTGTTTTGGAATTTCAAATATTTTTTTTACACCGACTTCACACTGAATTTACGACTTTCTACCTTTTTTTCTGTTGTTTAAGCTCTTATCTATCAGTAAACTCTTTTGTCGCTACTGTAAACCTAAATAAATATTTCCTAAATAGTAATTTTTTGAATTATAATATACTATTGAAAATTAACAGATTTCAGTTTTTTTTCCCAACTTTTTCTTCTTCCTCTGCTCGTTCTTCTTTCTTACAGCTATTACGTTGTTTGTTTTCCTCTCTATCAATTCATTTTTAAGGAATTTTATTTATTTATTTTATTTTATTTATCTTATCGTAAGAAAATTGTTTTCTAATTGTTTACAAACCTTATAATATTCTTGTAATATTTGAAAAACTTGTTTAATTAAAAGTTGTACAAAGTTGTCTTTTGCCAGAAAATTTTACGTTTACTGCATTATGACGCTTAGAACGTGTTGGCGTTGTTTGTTGAGGTGTAACTGTAACAGAACATTTGCTTATAAAAGGGTTGTTTTTGTTGTTATTGCTTAGGACTGTTTTGGTATATCAATGGCTATTCTGTACTGTTCGTAAAAAAAATAAACTTGGTAAAGAAGGCTTTTTTACTGGCCATATTGCAATCTATTTCCAGACGAGAAGGTTGTGTCTTTAGCATCAATATTACTGCTCTTTTTTCTGTAAATAATACAGTTTTTACATGTAATACATCTTTCTGTACTTATATATATTTATTCAATTCACTTATTTATAAACTGAGTTTAGCAAACATGAGCTTTTCTCTATACAGATAATAAAGTACCATAAGTGATTACATTTAGCCATGTTGTGCTTCGCAATAATTAATACTTTGAAAAGTAGGGAAGACAGGCGGATTAATACTGCTGAAGTATTACAGGCGCACCGATAACAGAATAAAAGAAAAAAAGAAACTAAAAAGCGAAAATGTTCCGTCTTTTGATATTGTAAAATAATCATTTTACAATCAGAGACAAAACAATTTTGCATTGAAAAATTCTTTTAAAATTTTTAGCAAAGTAATTTACAGATTGATCAAAATATAGCACTTTAGCTTTAATAGTGCGTTTACTTCAACAAGTAGATTTGCTTGACTGTTTAAAATCTTAAGGTCAACAGAGGAGCAAAAATACAATTAATAGAGCAACTTCAACTCAGTGTTACTGACTCTCAGCGTCTTCGCGGTTTTGGGTCTGTTTTGCATGTCCTGAAATTTGAAAAATTTTATTGTAATGTTTCCAGAAATACAGCAGAAAAAAAGTATGTTAGAACTAATACAGAATGGCTAATAGCACAGCAGTTTCAATAATGAACAAAAAACTTACGCCTACGAACGCAAGCATCAGCAACAGGAACGTAAGCAGGTGCACAAGCGCACACGCCGCTTTGGCATACTGCTCCAGGAATGCATGGTGCAGCTGCTGGTACACAAGGAGCTCCCAGTGCTACCTGAAATAAAATAATTTTCTCCTTTTCTCTCCGAAAATATTTCGCGTAAAATATTAACTGCAAGTAAGAATAGATCATACAGGGACTGCAGCAGGAGCAGCAACCGGGGCCAGGACTGCTGGAGGTGGCGGAGGAGGTGGAGGAGGAGCGACAGCAACCGGAACTGCTGCAGGTACAACAACGGGTGCGGCAACGGCTACCGGTGGTGGTGGTGGTGGTGGAGCGACAACGCCGTAAACAGTACGGGCAACACATACAGTACCTATAAAAAATAAAGTTTTATATAAAGGTAAGTTATTATTATTTGTACGGAAGTTCTCAAACAACGTCAAGCCAAATATAGAAAATTATACTGCAGTTATTCTAACCTTCTTGTACAAGATCTGGAGGGCATAAGCAGATTCCCAAAGAACAGACACTCCCACCGGTACATTCTACGCCGGGTTCACATGGAGCGCCGGGAAGGGCCTAAAGTTAAAGTTTTTGAATTTTTCAATTTGCGAAAGCTACTTAATTTCTTGGAAGAAATTTACTTGTGGAATAACTCGGCTAGCGACTACTGGGACTGGTGGTGGTGGTGGTGGTGGTGGTGGTGGAGGTGGTGGAGGAGCACATCCCACTACTGGGCTGTAGACAACACCAGTAGCACAAGTGCAGGCACCTTGGAAACAACTAAAAAAAGTATACTTAAAATCATAAATATTTAAACAGAAAAAACACGTTTCAATAAGAATAACAAGAAGTTTATAAAAATAACACTTTTTTGATTAGAGAGAGCCAACATACACTGCTGATCCTACACAAGCCGGAGAACACGCAATAGGTTCAGCTACAGCTAGAGGTGCCGGCGGCGGTGGCGGAGGAGCATGTAGAGGAATAGCCGGAGCTGCTGCAACTGGAACCGGTGCGGCTAGAACTGGTGGAGGTGGTGCTGGAAGAAAAGCTGCATATGGACCTGGTGCTATTAAATGAGCTGGGGGTGGTGGTGGGACTAATGCAGGTAGTGGAGGATTGTAAAGTGGGGCTGTAAACGTTATTCTATAGATGCGGGAAGCAAAAAAAAAATAAGCTTATTTCTAAATGGTTTCTAACTGATGAAAAATACTAAGAACTCTTTATAAGTTATCATTAAAATTTATCAGAGTTTTAGCAAGTTAAGTCGTCATTTCATTTAGTATGTTTTTCTGCAATCAAAAAAAGAAATTTTTTTTTAAAAAATAAAGCAAATAAAGATATAAAAAAAATAAATATTTTAGGTGGAAAAAAAAGTTGATTTTAGCACTAAATATGTGAGTGAAATGAAGCAAATTGGCGATAAGCAGTTGCTGTAATATTGTTAAGACAGTTAATTGGTTGCATCGAAAAAAAAAAAAAAAAGAATAGATCACCTGCATATAGTGGATATCGTCGTAATGATTTGCCCTCCTGCGCAGCTTCGGTAAAAGCTGCAATGCAGAAGAAACAACAAACCAGAATCCTTAGCATCTGTCTAAGTTTGTTTTGAGCTGTTTGCACTGAATAGATGTTGGATTGGATAGATGGAAGAATTGGATGGATAGTCAGCAGTGAATGTGATTTGTGGCATTTGACTGCTCGCTTATATAGTACTTTTTGGTTGCTGACCGGTTGAATGTACAAACGACGAATTGACCAGCATGAGAAAAAAAAATTTTTTTTTTTTTTTTGTCCTGCTTTATCATCATCGTCGTTCGTCGTTCATTGTCGTCATCATCATCATCGTCTGTTGGCTAGATGCAAAAACTAGTTAATAGCTTTCCCGTAGAAGCAGTTATTTCAGTCTCTTGGTTCTGAATTTTTTTTTTT